TTGGATGTTCCTATATATTTTTATTGTTTATTATTAGTGTCTGAGACATTTTTTTCTCAATATGTAAAACTCACATTGTATACTGTGTACACAACAAAATGACAAAAAAACACTTTTCTTTGCAAAAATCAAATGCCTGAAGCAGAGTTTTGTTCATTTGGTTGAGACTGGGGTGGCCATGGGAAAAAGGAGGGCAGCGTGCTCTAAAATAATGATGGGGAAAACCTGCCTAAGCATGATATACTGCAGGGCTTTTCAACCTTTTCACCCATTGTACCACTTTTAGGATATGGCAACATCCGAGTACCACCAGTCGCCTAGCAAGGTGTCAAAAACTTAATGACCAAAAAAAAAAAAAGGAAAAAAGTGATAAAGTACAGGCAGTCCTCGACTTACAACAGTTCGCTTAATGACTGAAGTTACAATGGCACTGAAAAAAGTGACCCCCATGCCACAGCCGAGCAAGACACCTGCCTGCCCACCCGGTGGCGCTCTTCCTCCTGTCCAAGGTTTCCATTGTTGTGAGCATTTCTGTTGAGGATTGGCAGTGGGGGTGGGATGGGGGGGTGTTTAGTTTTTATTCCCCCCCGTCTGCTGGGTGGTTGCAGCAGGTTTTGGTCACTTCACATGACCCTGGGACACTGTGACTGTCATAAATATGAATCAGTTGCCAAGCATCTGAATGTAAATCACCAGACCCTGGAGATGCTGCAACATTCCAGCTGATCGGCGCTTCTTCTGGGCTCAGCAAAAGCACCAGGATCAGTGCTGCTTTCCAGCTGATCGGCGCTTCTGGGCTCAGCAGAAGCACCAGAATCAATGCTGCTTTCCAGCTGATCGGCACTTCTTCTGGGCTCAGCAGAAGCACCAGGATCAGTGCCGAGCTCCAGCTGGAGCTTGGCGCTGATCCTGGTGCTTCCGCTGAGCCCTGATAGCCCTGCAGCTCCAGCCATCTCTCGCTCAGGCTTGTGCGGTGCTACCACTGGTTCAGTTCATTCCCCTCCCCCGCTACCACTTTTCTAGGATGGTCGTGTACCACCTGCCAGGTGCCAATGTACCACAGGTGGTACCCGTATCACTGTTTGAAAAGCCCTTGGTCTCAACATCTGGATGGTCTCATCTATATTCTGAAGTTTACACAATCCCTTGCTTAATGTTTTCCTCCTGTGCAATCTTTAAAGGGTATTGGAAACAATATTCCTGGTTCTACTTTTTATTTCCTGGACTTTCCTATCAGATGGAAGATTATCCATACCACCACCACAGAGGTGTGCCTGCCGTGCAAAAGAGCAGTGCCATTTTAGTTACAAACTAGAAAACCCCTATGTGGGGCAGAGGCAATCTTTCCAATAATGTTTACCAAACATCATAAAGACTTTTCTTTGGTCATCTCTTATTGGAACTATTCTGTGTATTTTCTGTTGGTCAACTTCAAAGGCATCTTTCATCTGCCTACCCAGTTAGAAAATTCTATTGCCAGTGGTAGCTTCATGGATATTTTGTATACAGGTAGTCCTCGATGTATAACTGGTTGCTTAATGACCATTGAAGTTGCAACAGACAAAAAGCTCCTTTTGCCCTTTTTTCAAAGTTGTGATGGCCGCAACTCTGTTCTTTGGTATGATCACTTGATCACATTTTATCCATTTGGCAGCCAGCTCACTTTTACAGCCTTTTGCAGTCACATGACTATAATTTGTGACTTTTTAAAATCGTTTTCTGGCACTTCCAGTTTCACATAAAAAACACCCATTGGAAAAAAGTGATTCACTTAACAATTAGGGTATTTACTAAACAACTGCAGCAAAAAACATTGAAAAATTAGGTCTAGTCACATGAGGCCTTAATGACTGCTACAGTTTACTGGTTTTTTTTCTCAATATGTAAAACTCACATTGTGTAATGTGTACACAAGTTAAGTCAAAATTAGCTTATGTAACTTCTACATACCACTAGAAAGATGCCAATGACTCATTGCTTTAAAAAAATCAAGATTTGTAAAGATTGTGCAGAATTTAGAAACTTGTTTCAGGTTGCAGAAAGCACTTTTTATCTGGGAGAAATTACAGTTTTATAATTATATCTCCAGGGCTATCATAAATCACTAAACACTAATATTGAACTTCCAGACTGATTAGTAAAGAACACATTTAATTCTCCATGTTAATTCATACTGAGTCATTACAAATACTTTTTAATATACTATAAACTTTATATTTTCAAAGTTTTCCCCCACCCAAGCTTTCTGTATATAAAAGTGCATACTGTTTTTCATTTCATGCATAGACATATAAAATGTCTCACTAACAGGCAATTCAATTATAAAATTTATAGCATTCTCTATATATCTAAACATACACATACATGTAGTGTAAGATACAAAAGTATGCATTTTTTAAAAAAGGTATCCCGCCCCATTTTTTTTAAGATGGGGAAGTTTGTTCTGAAGAGTTTGTCAAAGTATCATATAAAGGCTGATGTGTATGAGGAATGACAACCTTCCATTGGCCATAAGCCTCACTAGGAAGTTGGACCAAAATGAACAGCAATATAAAGGAAACAGGCCCAGAAATGTTTCAAGATCACTTCCCCCACCCACCCCCCACTCTAAAGAAGACTCCTATTTTAGAGAAAAGTTAGCTCTTTGTAGAATTAACACTACAGGATTGGCCAGGTTCATATAGGATGCAATTTTTTTCACAGAATAAGCCGTGATCAAGCAAATAAATCATTGTGGCTTAGTATATCAGCCTCCTTAGCCTAGTGTTGTTGCGCTTTTATATGTGCTTATTACGTACCACCACAGTAAAATTACACACAGGTAATGGGAATGTTTCCCTTTTATTAAAATTATGGTTAAGTCATACATTCACAAGCTATGATCGTTTTATCATTTAATCAGTTTTTAGTTTCACTATTATGTCCTTGTACCTATGTGCACATATATGTATGCATGCTCCTTTTGGCCTTAGAATAACACTTTGTACCAGAAGTTCACAAACTTTCCCGTGCTGTTTCAGAACTGTTGGCTTAACAGAAACAGCAAATTTACAAGGATACTCTGGGATATTTTAAATTACATTGACAGTCTGTCAGATGTTGCTGCTTCCCTTAGAAATTTAAAATATCCATAGTGCCTGGTGAATTTACTTTGGCACTACAGCACATTTTTGTAACTGTAGCCTTGTAAATTAATAAAGAGGCTCTAGTCTATAAGGGCATATGCCACAATCAGTTTAATTAATTAAGTAATTAAGGAGGAAACCCCAAGGCTTTACTATATAATCTTTGCTCAAGAGATTCTTTGGCATGTGTACCTGGAAAGCCATGCTCTGCAGCATGGTAGGAGAATAGACAGCAAGAGACTTAGCAGTTCAACTTGCACATTGAACTTAGCAGTTCAAACTTGCACATTCAATACATCCTCTCACTTTATAAACTGCAGATCTTTATATTCTAGGAGCATCAGTAGACATGTAAGCGAAGGCTGTCTAGCAGGATAGCCTCCTCTAGTTATGCACGTGGTCTTGCCTGCTTTTATCTATGACTTGTATATTGTCCAAGGCCTAACACTTTCCCCTTCATTTTTCCCATATCTACTTGGTAGGGTAAGGGTGACTGGGAGGTAGCAACTGGCCCAGCAAGCTTCTATAACCACAATCAAAGAGATCCAGATTGACCATGTTAATCACTACCCCACCCTAATATCATCTGAGAATTGTAATCTCAACACATCTGAGGTGTGTGGAAGGTGATGGATGATGGAAGTATTAGATAATGAAAATGATAGATGGACGTATTGAACAGCATGCAAGAGTGTAAGGATCCACTGGCAAAAATCATCCAATTAGACATGCATGCAACTGCAGTACTGATACTTCAATAACGATGGTATATTTCAACATGATAGTATCTCTGGAGATGTTGGGAAACCCTACTAAGAAGAAAATTTACTAATGCACGGGTTTGCTAATTTTTAAAAAGGTTCTTGACATCATTTTCCCTTACAAGCACATTACAGAAGTGGGGAAGAAAGAATGAATTTAACAAAAGCTGACCATGTCTTCAACAGAGCAGTTTTTGAACTGAGCATTTTACAAAATAGTCTGGCAGTGAAACTTGATTCTAGCATGCATTTAAGATTTCGAACCTTTGCCTTCTTAAAACGTAAGCTATAGTAAAATAGCTCTGCAGGAAGCATCACCATTTATTGACCTGATGGAAACAGCCAGTTCTTGTTTAGCAGCTACTGCAGTTAATGACTGCTCACAAATATGGCAAATAGTAGTAGTCAGTAATATAAAAAAACCCATTTTCTGACCAATGTACGTACGTATGACCAAATTTCTGCACTGACAACAATGCACACTGGAGAGTAATGCTTGCAGTGCTATACGAGATAACATTTTCTGAATGAGATGGCAGCAACCAGTGATTTTTGCAGCATTTCTCTATGTCACATGGTTCATTTAGTCATCATTTTGCTCAGTGACCATTTCACTGCAACAAACTGTTTGCCTTAATAAAACAATGCTTTATTTTGTAGTTGACCATACCTCTCATAGTAACTGCTTTGTGACTAGGTGACTTTTACAATATGGCAACAATCTTCTCCTAAAATATCAACAGTTGGCTAACTTCCCCGTTCCCCCCCAATATTGCAAATCTCCTTATTGTAAAGCATTGTTTTCATACTTGGCAACTTGAAGACTTCAGCTGCTGGTTGGGGACTTCTTGCTGATTAATTCCAGGAGTTGAGATCCACACGTTCTGGAAATTGAAGTGTAAACATCTTAAAGTTAAGTTTGAAAAACGCTGCTATAAAGTGTGCTTCTTTTTAGCCCTGTTCTAGGAACAAAAAAGTCAATATTGGCAACTTGCAGGACAGTGTAATTCTGTCTGCAGCTGCTTCCCTTGCAGTTTGGCCCATGTGTGGCTTACGTCTGTAAGCTATGATATATAAAAAATAAAAAAAAAAATTATAGTACCTTTTAAAATGCATTTGTACCATATCTTTGAACATGTAGATATCTATGTATGTGCAAAAGCTTGCCCTTAGCTGCAGTGAAATAAATGACCCTTTGCAGTTGATTCGTATTCATTAACTTATTGTATCAGTGAACTGCCAGTGAAATTTACAATCCTGTGCCCCTTTTATCTAAATGAATAAATTTTCTGCCCCTTGGGAAAAAGGGGCACCTTTAATGTGATTTCCATGGAAGAACAAGGGAGGGCAAAGTAGCAAACAAAATTGAATGCATATCCCATAGATTCAGGATATGTTGGAGGAGAAGAACTTATCTAGTCCCTGCTTTGTTCTCAGTTTACAGACTCCTGTGCAACAAGAGAAAAATGGTAATATTTTGGTATAACTAAAAAATACACAGTGCCAGCCCTGATTGTAGTCGGAGAGATGGAAGAAGGAAAATCCTGCTCTGTCTTCTTGGTTGTAAGGAATCTGAGCAGCTCCTCTTCCTCTTCCAGGCTGCGTGGCTTGATGTGGGGTGGCAGTTTACAGAATGGAACAAGGACAGCTTTTGCGTTCCTTCATTTTGGGGTGAAAGGCTGGGGCAGGGGGAGACTCCGATTCATGAAACCTCCTGCCATAAAAAGGGAAAAAAATATGGAGTGAGCAAAGGAAGCATTAAGACATTAAATAGTGCATGCTGTATCACATTACTTTGTGGAAATGTTCTTACATAAGATAAGCACCACTTGAAAAAACATTATTTATATCCCTGGAGGAGGCCAACTGCTACTACCCAGGAGACCATATAGTTGGAAACAGTGTACTAATGCTTTGGGTGTCCAACAGATGACGACTATTCCTTTGGACTACACTGGATGAGGTTCCAGGAAAGTGCTGGCTGGAATACAACCAAGATCACTCTCACCCCACTCACTACTCTGGATGGCCCTTTATTACAGGCCAGAGGGAAAGTCCAAATCTTCAGCTTGTGAGCTAGAGTTCATCTCCAGAAATGGTAGGCGAGACTCCTCAACAATTCATGCTGAATGATACAATTCTAAATACAGGTAGGCCTTGATTTACGACTGCAATTCAGCCTGTAATTAAGGTCATAAGTCATGCTAGTCATCACATGACCAATTCAATTTTATGACTTTTTTCCAATAGTCGTTAAGCAAATTATCATGGTTGTTAAACAAGTCTATCATTAAGTGAATGCAATGGTTGTTAAGTGAATTCATAATTCACAATGAATGTCTTTTGCTGGAAACTGAAAGTAAATGCCAGTTGCTAGCAAAAAATGAAACTAATAGTCACATGGCTATGGGACTGCAAATGGCCATAAATGCACGCCAGTTGCCAAGCTCTTAAAATACAATTACATGAATCCAGGTGAAGGTAGCTTCAAATCAGAATATAAGTACCTTTTTTTTGGTCTGCTGTAACTCTAAACAACCACTAACTGACCAGTCATAAATCGAGAACGACCTGTAGTAAGACCCTACATCAGGGGTTCTCAACCTTGGCAACTTTAAGACTTGTGGACTTCAACTCCCAGAATTCCTCAGCCAGCAAAGTTCAGTCCACAAGTCTTAAAGTTGCCAAGGTTGAGAACTCCTGCCCTACATGCTTTCAGGTTTCATTGCAGAAATCTCTGTTGTTCACCCTCGTCAATGCAACCCTTAGTGTTTTGACCTTCAAACTCCATTTTCCTCCTGAGTAGCCATATCCACTTCCTAGACTAGTGATGGCGAACCTTTTAGAGACCGAGTGCCCAAAAACATCTCCGCCCCCCACCTGCCCCTGCTCTACCCTCCACTCTGCCCCCATCCGCAGGGCCACCCACCACCTCCACGGCCCGCTGCAGATCACCCAGGTGGCCCTGCAGCGCCATGGCGGCCACACCCTCCACCTATCCCCCACAGCATCATCTGCGCACAATGGGGCGTGAGGGCGGAGTCTTGTCTCCATTGCCCGGCTGCCATGTCCTTGGCTGCGCTGCGCTGCTCCGCATGGGCCGCACCCAGGGGCGACTCTCCTCCGGGGGGGGCTGCTGGTGAGGAGGGGGCCACAGGGAGAGGTGGGCTGGGGCGACAGCATGCGTACCCACAGAAAGGGCTCTGAGTACCGCCTCTGGCACACGTGGCATAGGTTCGCCATCACTGTCCTAGACCCAAAGTGGGATTTTGGACATAGTTGCCTAGCTGCAGCTGAAATGAGGCCACAGTCAGAAATACAAATTTTCAGACAGAAAGCTGCATCACACAAGAAAGTTGATGGATCACCATCTGAATCTATAAAAATATATTGAATAGCTAATATTGGAAATCCTACATGTATCAGGTCACTTAACAGCGGGATTAATTTCATGTGGTTTTCAACCCGACATTTCAAAAGCCCTTATAAGCAAGCAAGCATCAAGCAAACAAACCAGGTTTCTGTTCCAATCAATCTCTTTCTGGCTGCTAAACGGACAGTGAGAGACATGGAAAGAGTAAGAGAAGAGAATATTTTAAAAAGGGGGAAAGAAAACTCCTTTTCTTTGTTAACCCCAATCTATGGAATCCATTTCCCAAAGAGTTTATGCTTCATCTCAGCTTCCCCAGGTTTGAAGAGGAGATTGAAAACCCATCTGTTTCATCCAGTTTCTAACTGATAAATTGATTTTGTTTTAGAAGTATCAATTGTAATTTTGACTTGATTTTAATTGCATTGACTTTTTTTTAAAAAAAATTTAATTACTGTCAACTACCTTGAAAACAATGTGAACAGAATGTCAGAATTTAAACTTCCTAAAGAAAGAAAGTAACCAGCAATTATTTAATCAGAAAAAGCCTTTCTGAGGGATGCTGTCCTAGAAAAAGAGTTTTCTTCAGTTTGGGGGAGTTTCAGTTCTTTCGCGGCATCGGCTTCAACCCCAAACTGCCTCCGTCTTACCTGATGGCTCGGACTAACTCTTGGAAAGACTCATCCACATTGAATCGGACCTTTGCAGAGGCTTCCATGTAGGGGATTCGGTTTTCCCGAGCAAAGTACAGGGCCTCCTCTTCAGTTACCTGCCAATAAGGATAAACAAGACCTTAATACAGAAGTACACGAGATACAGCAGGATGAGGAAGAAAAAACCATTACCTACTATAGTATGAATTTTTGTCAAGCAATAACTCAAGTCAACCTCAGAGTTTATTAATCAAAATAGGTGTAACCATCATCAACTGCATGGTTCTAGTCCCTTATTTCTTTAGCTAACACCAAATGTAAAGATGAGAAACAAAAGAAGAAATGGGTGTGGGGAGAGAGAGAGGGATCCATTATGCCTTTTTGTCACCCTATTTTTCTAAATGCTTCTTTCTCTAAATCAAGATGGTTTTTCTCATTCTCTTGTAATTTTGGAACTTAACTGAGACAATTCTGTCTATCTAATGTGGATAAATATATGACTTGAGAAGTGGAGGATTTGATAATGGCAGGAGGCTCCATAGTCAGGATGTCAACAGGCTGACCAGTCCAAGTACCAGGTTTTCTTAGGCAATTTCAGAGCTGTCAATATAAGATCCACTCTTGCAGGCTTCAGAATCCTGGAGACTAGTGGACACTATATAGAGTAATATGTTTTTGGGACAAGACACTGACAACATTTGATACTTCTGCTCCTTGGGTTCAGAATCATGAAAGGAATTGTGAGGAGGTCCACTGCTGCCCTCTTGAAGACCAAAGAATGTGCATGAATACTCTGGGTTTGAAACGACATTCACTTCATGGATGAGCCAATATATTGCCATCTTCTGAACCATAGCGATGATACATTTTCCTTTCCTTGATTCTGTGTAGGACTTTGTTTCCTTCATCAACTATCTTAATCCACTTCCTCCCTCTTTCCTGATATAGGCTTTGGTAGTCCTGCTATATTACACTATCCCATTTGCAACTCAGGGGTTCTCCTAGATTCATGACTCCTGCTCAAAGAGCAGGTAGTGGGTGTGACTTGGAAAGGTTTTGCATTGTTCCAGTTTGTGCACCAGCTGTGACCCTTCCTGGATCATGACTCCCTAGTTACTTAAGCCCTAGTCATCTCTCAACTGGACTACCACAAAGTGCTCTCCAATGGAGCTACTCCTGGAATCCATTTGGAAGTTTAAGCTTTTTCAAATGTGGCAGTGAGAGACATCTTTGGGATCCCTAGAATGGCCCATTTTAAGTCCTGCTAGGAGAAGCCCATCCCACTTGTGCCAGCAGACAGGGCCTATTGTGGACCCTGTTGGGATTGAGAAGAAGAACCTTCTCTGTCGTTGCATCCCCCCTCCCTTTGGAATATCCTTCCCCCCCCCCCAAGGTGAGATCTGCCTCCTTTTTCCTATCATTCCATAAGAGTCTGAAGACTTGGCCCTGCTGCTTGGCCTGGGGCCCCAATGAGGGAGAGGGCTATTAGATTGATAGCAAACCTCACTTCCTCCCTCGGACCCTGCTTTCCCACCTGACCATCTTTTATTCTCACTATATCCTCACTGTTTTCTTTTTTTTCTTTCTGCTATTGTCCCATCACTTTACTACCATTTTACCCTTCTTTTCACTTCTCTGTTTTTAATTATTGTAAGCTACCTAGAGTAGCCCCATGGCGAGACAGGCAGCAAATAAATTTAACAAATAATATTAGCAGGATATGCTGCCTTTTGAAAGAGTCTGGAATCCGAGCTAGTCATATTGCTTGTCATAACCAGAAACTTATTGAATTTCTTCCCTCTAGGCAACTTTAGAGCAGGGGTCCTCAACCTTGGCAACTTTAAGACTTGTGGACTTCAACTCCCAGAATTCTGGGAGTTGAAGTCCACAAGTCTTAAAGTTGCCAAGGTTGAGGACCCCTGCTCTAGAGTATGCCCTTCATTTCTTCAGGCTGGTGTATATGATAAGTTTGACAAAATGAGAGATCCGTATATATCTCTCCATACTTTTAAATAAGGCTTTCAGGAATCACCACTTGAGGGAGCTCCTCACATTTTCTTTCTTTTTTAACATACTTATTTTCTTTTGTCAATAAAAATAAAATACAAAAGAACATCCAACACTAACAATGAAAAGAAAAAAAAACTTGTGTACAAAAGAAAAAAAAATGCCAAATGTCAAATAGATCTAACATTTAACATAAAAAATCCATCCTGGCTGGATGCTGAAAAATAAATAAACCTAGCACGTTCTCCTCCCCTTATGTAACAGATTTACAAATAGTTGTAACAAAAATTCAGTATTAAATAACAAACATCTCAGATGTGGAAATCTATCTGTCTAATAATCAAATCAACCCAACATCTGATCACAATGTAAAAGGAAAAAAAACAGTCAACAGGTTAGTTCAAACGTTACACTACACTTTTTCTAGGAGTGCCAGGATTTTGGAGATTGAGTTATTATGTTCCTGGAAGGAAAGACACACATCTATTGGTGGAGTCTGAAGTGAAATCATGCCCCGGGTATTAATATTATCCAGGCAATCCTCTGGCCTGGAGGTTGATGAGAATCATAAGGCTGATACAACTAGTGCCTGGATGGTCTCCTGTCTCTCCTTTGGAAGGAAAATAAGGTCTCTTTGGTGCCAATATACTTTGGTAATGCAAGAAGGGTGCTCTTGTTTTCATTGATTAGGAAGCCCAGATTCTCAAAGGTCTACATCAAGGTCCTGACAGCAATCCCTGCTTAATCAAGGAGAATAAGATAAGAGTATGTGTGTGTTTTATTGCCATATGTAATGGGCTAGGGCAGTCAAAATTACAAAAATTGATGACCGGCTCAATGGCCTTAAATTGATACTGGGTGCCATGGTATTCGCCGGAATTTCTTTGTGTGGGAAATAAATTGGAATGTGTAAGTAACCCGACTGTAAATTCATGACCGACTAGATAATTAAGCCTGCAACTATCTAATGGGTGGTTCTCCTTACGAACTTGAGAATCAATGGCCAGGTGGGATCAACTAAATTGCCTATACTGTATTGCTTATAAAGTGATGGATTTGCTAGATAGACCAAACCCATTAGGTTACATTTACAATTAAAGTCCTAATTTACCATTAAATCATAATATGTGGAGATTAGTGAACCCTCTCTACTCACCTGTCGATAAAGGTCCAGATCAGTCTTATTGCCAACAAGGACCATAGGGAACTCATCACGGTCTTTCACTCGAAGTATCTGAGTGTGGAATTTGTGGATTTCATTGAAACTATGACAAATAAATGGGAGTAAGACAAAGAAGGATTTTTCTTAATGTGTTTTTTTCCAGATATACTATTATTATTTTCCTAATGAATTCCTCTCTTTGCTTCTAAAAGAAGAAAAAAAGAATACCAATATCAAGACCACTATAAGTTTCTCCTACATTTCAGAAGACTCTCTGGGAAAAATTCTAACAAATACCATGTGCTTTCCTCATAAAAGATCTGTTTGAGCATCCTGGTCATTTTAAAATTTATATATTATTCATGTAGCGATTTAGCAACAATGGCTTTCTAAACCTTTATTTTAACTATGTAAAAGGCATGAATATACTGAACTCACACAATATCCTAGACCAGTGGTGGCGAACCTATGGCACGGGTGCCAGAGGCGGCACTCAGAGCCCTCTCTGTGGGCACGAGCGCCATCGCCCCAGTCCTAGGCCTTCAGTTGGGTTTTATAAAACCTTTTCGCTTTAGGCCTCCGCGGCCATGTACAAAAAAAAAAAAGTTTCAATCAGTCAATTTCAACTTCTTGCGGGGAAAAAAAAGATCTTGCAAAGTTGAAATTGATTGATTGAACTTTTTAGTCCCACCCAGTCTGCCGTTACCACTGCAGCCATGCCCACCCACTTGGCCATGCCCACCCAATGGGCCACACCCACCCAGCACCCAACGATGCATAAGTGGGTTTTGGGTTGCAGTTTGGGCACTTGGTCTCTAAAAGGTTCACTATCACTGTCCTAGACCAAAGAAATCACATTCTGGCTTAGCATAATGCACTGGCCAGTCACTTTAAAGCTTATTGGGTCTAGCACTATTTTTTTTGTAATTGCTTTAATGGCAGCTTCCAGAAGTATAAACATGACCTAATTGCAATTTAAACTACCAAAGATATTTTTCCCCAAACAACCCCAGCACTGCCAATTTTTAAGCACCTAATACAGGAAGGCAAAGCCAGGAAACACTATTGAAGCTTTTACATCTCAGCCTGCCTTTCTCTAGCCCATTAGGCTGAACAATCTGCACACCATAAGCTACAGAGGAACAACCTTTTTTGCACTTTTGGTAAAAACACTGAGCAAACAAGGAAGAGACAGAAAATGAGAAAATCATAACCTCAAAAGTCTTTGATAAAACCCCCACCCACCAATGGCACACACATCTTAGCCCTAAAGAAGAAAAGTTTTTCATGGCATGTAAATGCTTCAGCTTTGATCTCACCTGCCCCGGTCATTGATAGCATAAACAAGGAGGAAACCTTCTCCTGTGCGCATGTATTGTTCCCGCATAGCTCCAAACTCTTCTTGACCAGCAGTGTCCAGAACTGATAGGTGAAAATTGAGAAGGAAAGAAAATAGATTAGATCCCAATCAATACTGAGTTTGAAACATGTAGAAAAAGAGATGAGGGAGTTTAGTGTGGGATGGAACCAGGGGCCCTCCAGCTGCCCTGAACTACAAACTTCACAAGACTCAGACAAGGCAGACAAGAGAACAATACATTAAAATGTACACAGAACACCAGGTTGCCTGTTCCCATCTTAGTCACAATGACACGGTCAGTTTCAGATGTGATGGCATCCTTCGGTAAAAAGCTTTCTGACACAATCACTTCCTTCAGTAGCATTTCATGAGTCTCTACTTCACAGGAATGGACCAACATTCTTCTGATATTTTGGAAAATGTTAGTACATACAGTGGACCACAGTACATTAAAAGAATAACTCTCTGACTTTCTTTACAGGTGCCTGTCACCTGTAAGGAAAATATTTTGTTGGGAGGTGCTCAAGTCACGTTTTAGCAACAGATTCAACTGAAGTTCCAGTAGCTAAAAAGTGCTATGTTCCCCCCATTATCAACATACAGTTTTTGTTGTAGGTTTTAAACAAAGAAAGTTTAAAAAAAAGAAAAGAAAAGAAAAAAGAAAAAGAAAATATAAGCAGGCTACAGCCACTGTGTCCTCCAGACATCAACCCTCATCACCAACTCAGGTACAGACCCTTCATTGCCACTTGATAAAACATACTGTTTTCATATTTATTTTATGGTCTCTTACAACCAATAAGTCCCCCCAATAATAAATCCACATAGATTAACTTTGCTTCCAATTGGATGGCAAATTCAAGAATAATTTGTTGTAAGTTTGTAGCAGTAAAAATTCTGCAAACAAGTTTGATTTTAATAAAAAGGCTCAGTTTCATAGCATCTGGTTCCAGATACTCATTTGTTCACTTCGGTCTTCTCCAGACTGATACCCCTCAAATGTCTTGGACAAATAACCAATCAATATGGCCAATAAACCATTGCTGACTGGGAATAGCAGAAATTATAGCTCAGCAAATCTAGAAGACACCGATTGAAAAACACTGACATGCAATGAATCTTTATCTCTCAGTTTATTTGCTGGAGTCCATTCTATTAGCCTCCCTTTTCCTTATTCCTGCCTTATTTTCGTCTATGGCAAGGAAAGATTAAAATTTGAGAGTTGCAGTCATAAGGGAACCCACATTTACATGTTATTAGTGTATGTTTCATCCTTGTACTAAGGATGAAACATACATTAATAACATGTAAAGACCCCTCTGACCCCAATTTCTCCATTACCCCTGCATACAGGTAGTCCTTGATTTATAACAATTCATTTAGTGACTATTCTAAGTTACAACAGCACTGAAAAAAGTGATTTATGACCATTTTTCACATCTATGAATGTCATAACATCCCCATGGTCACGTGATCAAAAATCAGATACTTTGCAACTAGTTTATACTTATGACGGTTTCAGTATCCCGGGATCATGTGATCACCTTTTGTGACCTTTTGACAAGCAAAATCAATGGGGAAATTAGATTCATTTAACCCTGTTACTAATTTAACAACTACAGGGATTCACTTAACACCTGTGGAAAGAAAGGTTGTAATATGAGGCAAAATTCACTTAACAAATTTTCACTTGGCAAGATAAATGTTGGGCTCAATTGTGTCATAACGTGAGGACTATACACACTATGTACATTCATTTGTGCAAAGCACACGCAAGATCTCTCTAGAATGAGAGTCCACTGATACTTACTGTCCAGCCGGGTTGAGGTACCATCAATATTGCAGATTTTGGTGTAGGAGTCCTCAATTGTGGGGTCATAGTCAGAAACAAAGTAAGACTGAAACAAAGGAAGGAAGGAAGAGGAAAGGGTTTCAAGGATGACAGAAGGACCTGGAAATCCATTTTCAAATTTCAAATCTCTGGCACAAGCTTTTACTCAACCATCTGCTATCAACTCCATGCATGCTATTGAGCAATTCTGGGAATTAATGTCCACTCATTTAAAAGTTGCCATTATTGAAAAGCACTGCTTCAGATGGAGGGCCAGTCTGGTGTAATGGTCAGTGTGCTAGTCTGGAAATCAGGAGCCTGTGAGGCATGAAAGCCAGCTGGGTGACTTTGGGATAGTTGCTCTCCTTCAGGCCAACCTACCCCACGGGGTTGTTGTTGTGGGGAAAATAGGAGGCAGGAATATTACCGTAGCTATTTTTGCCACTTTGAGATAACCAAATATAAAGGCAGCATAGAAGCATCCTAATGATGGTGATAACAGAGGGCGATCACTGGCTACCATGTAATAGACAAAGACAATGTCCTCTGAGTTCAAAGAGCGGTTTTCTTTTCTTAGAACAGCGGTTCTCAACCTATGGGTCACGACCCCATTTGGGGTCGATCGACCATTTCACGGGGGTCGCCAAGCAAGGCTGTCTGCCATTTTTTTCCCCTTTTCCGGCGGGTGCCTTACCTCCCTTGGGCTGGGCCAGCTGGTGGTCGGCCTGCTCCGTCTCTGCCACTTGCTAGCTACACCTCGGCCGGCACAGGGGGCGGAACTACACATGCGCGGCGCTCCTGGGCAGGGAAAGTCCTTGACTTACGACCGGTTAGGTAGTCCTCGACTTACGACCGGTTTAGTCCTCGACTTACGACCGGTTTAGTCCCAGACTTACGACCGGTTTAGTCCTCGACTTACGACCGGTTGGGGGTCGCGGCATTAAAAAGGTTGAGAACCACTGTCTTAGAAGCATTATGGAAGCAGTTTGCCATTACCACCTTCTAAAATGTTCCATTTCTTCATCCCATTTATAATCCTGGAATAGTCTCTTGCCCAAGATCTAACTAGATCTGATCCCAACTAGCTATTCAAATTCATCTAAGTTTTTATTAATTGTTAAATCATAGGCAGGGTACCTAAAATGTCAGAAAACTATAATGAAAAGAAAATACTGCTTTCAACCATCTTATGTATCTCCAAATACACATAATTTGCTTCCCTGCAATGCTGAATGTTGGAACGCAAGCACCACAGAGCTGATTCAGACTCCTTTTACATCCCTTGCTTTTTATTAGTGTAATCTTTCTTTTTCCAAATGCAGCTGCCGCCTTTTGAAGGTGAGAAGAATGAGCAAAATGGAGATGAGCTATTCCCAACCTCGATGAGAAATTGCATCACTCTCACAATACCTCAAAATGATGGAATTGTAGCTGCAGGCATCTGAAGGGCACCAGACTGGAGGCAGTCAGCTTTAAAAAAGTATATGCTAGTGTCATGTTTTTCTGAGGTATTTATTCCTAAGGAGGCATAGCTGGCAGCCAGAGTTGCTCAAAAAAGATCATAAACCTATGCACATTTAAGTTGGAAAAGTTCCAGTCATTATAGAACTTATAAACACATTTACAGCAATGGACAAAGTCCTGCGGTAACTTTCATTTTTCCACTCAGCACGAAAACATACCTATAAAGTTTGTTTAGCCCTGAGCCATCCGCCCTACCCAACCCAGCCCTAACCCTTCGGCGCCTTTTCCGAGTTACCTGGATGAATTGAATGGTAAGGGCGCTCTTGCCCACGCCGCCTCCACCGACCACCACCAGCTTGTATTTCTCCAGTGGCGCCGCACCTTCGCTGGGATTCATCCTGTTTAGCAAAAGTTGTTCGCTTCCTTATAGGGAGGGAATCGGACCAATGCACTCAAAAGCTTCCCCGTTCAGTCGCAGCAGTCATCCTCCGAATCCCCCAAAATATGGCTGAGAGATCCAGGGTGGGCCCTCTAAGGAGCGAAGCTCGGCGATTGCTGACTGTCCGCTTCCCTATTTGGCCAGCGGGAGCCGCTACGGGGAGGTCCCACGTCCGGAACAAGCTCGTCCGGGCCAGTGCTCCTTCCCCGCCCTGAGGTGGACCAGTCGGGAGCGGGGGGGGGGGGGCTGAGCTCAACGTGCACCCAGGACGCTGCCCAAGATGCTGTCTCTCTGCGATGAACGCGAAGCTCCAATCGTTTAGTGGGAGGTATGGAAGAGGCTAAGTTGGAGAAGTTTATGCCTGAGATGATGAAATCAGAATGGACGTAGTTATACAGCGCAATACTTTCATCTTGAAGTTTTGGCATTCCGATTATTAGCAAAACATGCGGTCTGCGTAAGAGCTCCTGAACTAGGGAGCAGCCCATCGTAAACCAGACGCAGAGGCGCCCACGTGGCGTCTCTACGGCGTTTTTACACGACACATCCGGATAGAACCCTTGTTTCAGTCGAATTAACCCAAGTTGCTGGATCCCCATGACAAATTGTGTTACAAATTAGCCACGGCAAAGGCAAACACTAAGGCAAAAAAGTAGCTAACCAAGTTGGGTTGAAGGCAACTTCTGACTTTCTAGACACAGGCACGTTCACTTTAGCTGGCTGAATCTCCAAGTTCTTTACTGACCACCACATACAGTCGTAGAAACGGAGTTCTGACATGCAGGAAATTCTGGGATGTGCAAGAAATGTCGAGGTAAGATGGGAGGTGGATAAAACCTGGTCCTTTTTAAGTGGATGCAAAGTTCAGAGGCGTGGGACCAAAAACGTTAAGTCAAAACCAGCTTGCGGACCGGGAGTTTCAGAAGAGGAGATGTTCGGACTCGTTCTGGAAGGCATTCAGAGTGAAGGGGTGGATAAACGGTGAAATCTAGGACCCAACTCTTGACTCGGCCAGGGCGGAGAGGAGTATGAGTTCACTACTACATTCCTTTCATGAATTGTGTAGAGTAAGTTGAGGCACCACCCCGTGCCTTGGGTTGGGAAGGAACACCTTGACCTGTATGAAGTTGCGGAACTTAGATTAGCGGTGATTTATTGTACCTGTTTCTGCAATGGTACAAAGGCCCACACAATAATTTATTAGCAAGTTGCCAAAAGAGGCCATTTCTCCCTGTGCAGAACCTAAGATCCAAGAAAGGAAAACTCTGTTTAAGCTATGTAACACTGAAGCATTTAACACTAAATAATACCTTAGTCTATTATATTTTTATTCATTATATTTATCAGAAATGTAAATGACAAAGTAGAGTCAGTGACTAGTTTTCTCAATCTGGTTCTATCCAGTTAATTTTAGAATACAATACTCTTCATCTCCAGTCATTACCTTCATCACCTTGTTATAAGTGAGATTCCACACATCTGAATGGCATCTGGTTGGAAAGGGCTGTTCCAGGAATCCTGATATCACCCGAACTTCTTCAGATAATCATTAAACTTCAATTCAGCCAATCAAAAGTAGGGCATTATTTAAAACACCAGGAATCCATTTGTTCATTCCTTCAGAGCCAGGAAAACCCCAGTCCTACATGGATTGTGTAACCCCATCTTTTATGTTTTGGGGTTCGAGACATTGAAGCACGACACATGTTGTAACCAAACTTCTTTATTTGCTCCTTAACTTCATTCAACTCTGTAAACAGGCACGCAGGCCTTTTATAGTCTTCCAACCCCCAGGCAGTCCAGCCAATAGGAAAAACCCTTTCTTCGCGCCTTGCGCATGTGCATAAGTCCGGCGCCAGCCAGTCAGGTCCCGGGCAGCTTTTAGGATGCCCGGGACCATTTGCAACATTTCTGGGCCTGCTGAGTTGCCTCATCAGGCCCAGGACACAACACCCCTCCCCCCTAGATGGAACACACAATTACAATTGTTCCCTGATAAAAAAAAAAGAAAAGAATTTCCCTGCTCACACACAGGCAAAATATTTTTATAAAATAATAAGTTTAACTGAACAACTCGCTCTCCAAATTTAGACTTAGTGTGTCTATCTTTTACCAAGCGTAGGTCCCCGTTACCTTGTTATAAATCAGCAAGGTTCCTTTGTGATGACAGAAACCTCACAAAGTCTCCCAGATGCTTAGGAGGGGCCTTAGCCCGTTGCGACCTACGCAGAGTCAGGGAGGGTGCCTGGCCTGTCAGCTCACCTGCCCGGCTAGGCAGACCAGGACTTTTACTTAAGGGTGCCTGGCCCACCGGCCCGTCGGGTAGGCTCGCTAGACCAGGACTTTGATGCTCATAATTTGCAGGTGACCCTCGTTGAGGCGTGCTGGCTGAGTCGTCTGGGCTCCATCCAGGTCCCCTTGGAGAGGAGGAAATCCCCCAACCCGCTGGTGGAGCAGAGGTCTCCCCAACTACCATGGATTGCTCCTGGGAACTTAGTCCCTCGAGCCCGCGACCAGTCTCGGACATGACCTGCATTGCAGGTGTGCCCCAATAATTCCAGTCTCCCGTGTAGGTGGCTGAGGTGCCAGAGTCAGGAGCCGCCTCTATGGCAAACCCCCTCTCAGGAGAATTCCTGTTTGGCGCTCTTGCGGATGCGCAGGCCACCCCCCGGGATGATTTCTTGTTTGGAGCACTTGCAGATACGCATGACTCCCTGTTCGGAGCGATAGCTGAATTGTGAGGATGCCCTTGCTCCTCCACTGGGGAATCAGTAGCAACCTGCCGCAATCCCCAGGAACAGTAAGACTGGTTCCCAGGATTTTGACCTGAAGTGTGACCATGTTCCTGGGGCCCCTCCTCCCCGAGAGCAGAATCCGGGGCGGAAAGGTCAGGGGCCAACCGCCAGAATAGTTGGTCGATGTGACGCCGAAGGATGCGGCCGTCTCCCAAGGTCACTTTGTATGATAGTGGCCCTGAGATCTTACAGATGACAGCAGGGACCCAGAGATGTCCAGGACCATAGTTCCTTGCCCAGACCGGATCGCCCACCTGAAGTCTCCTAGGTGCCCGCAGCTGTGACACCTGTGAAGCCACCCGGTCTGGGTGCAGTCTGTCCAACTTCGTGATGAGGCGGCGACCTCAGCGGAGTTCAGCTGGGCTCTTTCCGGTGGCAGTGCATGGTGTGGTGCGGTGTGCAAGAAGAAAATCTGCTAACCTGTGATGCCAGCTACCGTGCATGATTCTTTTGAGCGTGTCTTTGGTGGTGCGCACCATCTGTTCAGCTTGCCCGTTGGTGGAAGGGTGGAAGGGAGCTGATGTGGCGTGCCAGATCAAGTTGGCCTGAAGGAAAGCCTGGAACTCACAAGAAGTAAATTGAGGACCGTTGTCAGAAACAAGGACATCAGGAAATCCATGGGTCGCGAAGTTTCCTCTCAACACCTGGATGGTCCTAGCAGTAGTAGTGGAGGAGACAGGTACAAGCTCTAGCCACCTGGAATGGCTATCCACCAGGATAAGGAAGAACTGCCCCTGAAAGGGCCCAGCATAATCTAAATGTACCCTTGACCAAGGGGTTTGTGTGTCCTCCCACCTGTGTACAGGGGCCTGAGGCAATTCAGGCCGTGACTGTTGGCACACCTGGCACCTGTGTACCTGGGCCTCGATAGCTTTATCAAGCCCAGGCCATTAAAGATGGCTGCGTGCAAGTGCTTTCATGCACACAATGCCCGGATGTCCCTCATGCAGAGAGGACAAGACTCTAGCCCTCAGTGAGGCTGGGATAACTACTCTACTACCCCATAATAGGCACCCATTAAATGTAGACAGTTCGTGCCTCCTTTGCCAGAAGCTTTGAAACGTCGCATCTGGACACATGTCAGGCCATCCTGACAACACCCATGTCAGCACGCGTGTAAGCGTGTGATCAGTGGCAGTTTCTGTAGCCACGTCCCTAGCATTGAGGGGAGATTCAGGCAGTTCCTGAATAGAGAGAATATTAACAGCAGGGGCAGGATCTGCCTCTATTTGTGTGAGAGGTAGCCTACTGAGGCCATCTGCATGGCCCATTTCTTTTCCAGGTTTGTGAATGAGCGTGTAGTCATATGCTGACAGGAAAATGGACCACCTCAGCATATGTGGGGATATGATGTGTGGGGTTTGTTTGGTCATTGTAAACAACCCCAGCAAAGGCTTGTGGTCTGTATAGACCCGTGGTGGCAAACCTATGGCACACGTGCCACAGGTGGCACACAGAGCCGTCCCTGATGGCACGTGAGCCATTGCTGCTTCCCTCCTCTTTGCGCATGCGCAGCTCTTTTACGCTCACTAAGCTTAGGAAGTTTCGGTTTCGGAGCATGCGGCAGAAAGCGAGAGAGAGAACAAGCAAAAGCGGTAAGTTTTGCCTCACCTCAGCCCTGCCTTGTCTCTGGCCTGCCGCTGAGCTTCCTGCGCTTGGCTGCAGCGGAGGAGGAGGCGGCGGCTACCGGCCTCCCCACCAGCCCTGGAACACCCTGCCGTCACCGGCATTTCTTGTAATTTTGTACTCGGCGCCCCTCGCGCAGCCCGCCCCACGCTGTCTCCAGCCTGCCGCTGACCACAGCGGACAAGGCAGCAGCCACCAGGGCAGGCCGAGTCCGAAAAGCCCAGCCCAGCGGCTCCAAAACACCCTGCGGCTGCCGGCATTTCTTGCCATTTCGCACCTGGCTCCCCCTCGTGCAGTCTGCCTCGTGCAGTCTGCCCCGCGCCGTCTCCAGCCTGCTGCTGACCGCAGCGGATGAGGCGGCGGCCACCAGGGGAGGCCGAGGCCGAAGAGCCCGGCCCAGCGGCCCCGGAACATCCCACCGGCGTTGGCATCTTGTGGCACTCAGCGCTGCCATTTCTTGTCATTGCAGCCCGCCCCGCCTCGTGCTGTCTTCAGCCTGCCACTGAGCTTGCACTGCTTGGCTGCAGCGGACGAGGTGGTGGCCACCAGGGGAGACGAGGCCGAGGCCGAAGAACCCGGCCCAGCGGCCCCAGAACACCTTTCTGGTGCTGGCATCTTGCGGCGCCTGGCGCTGCCATTTCTCACCATCTCACAGCCCGCCCCGCCTTGC